AACAGTCTTTTTCTTGTGGAAGCCCAGGAGTATTCTGTAAACTTTCATTTTGAGACTCTTGTCTGAGATGGTATTACCAAATATTTATTCCCAGTCTGTAGGTTTTCTTTTCACCCTTTTGGAAAACGTTTTTGATGCACATGTGGATTTAATCTTTAGAAGATCCCATTCATTATTTTTATTCTCTTAAGATTGTGCATTTCTGGTTGTATTTGGCAGTCTCTTCATACCTTGGACTAGCAGTTCTAAGCTTCATCCCAGTTTGTCTCTTATGAACTTTATGGTTTTAGGCTTTACTTCCAGGTCTCTGATCCACCTTGAGTTGATTTTTGTGTGTGGTGTGAGATATGGATCCTGTTTCAGCTTTCTGCAGGTGCAAGTCCAGTTTTGCCAGTCCCATTTGTTGAAGAGGTTGTCATTTCCCTATTTGATAAGTTTGATTTCCTTGTCGAATATCAGTTGACCATAGATTGCTGGGTCTTTTTCTGGGTTCTCAGCTCTGTTTCGTTGGTCTGTGTGCCTGGTTACTACTGCTGTTCAGTAGATTGTGAGGTCAGGGAGTGCTATGCCTCCCACCTAATTTTTGTTTCTCAGAAGTATTTTGCTTATTCAGAGTCTCTTGCCTCTCCAAATAAATTTGATAATTTCCCTTTCCATCTCCTTGAAAAATGAATTTGGTATCTGAATTGGGATTGCATTGAACATTTATTATACATTTATAGGAAATCTCTAACATTTGAAAATCAACCTGATAGTTCATAATGTTAATTACATTATAATATGAATTATAATCCTAATTGGATTATGCTGGCTGCTAACCAACCATAAGGTGATTGTTTTGAACCCACTAGCTGTTCCTCAGTAGAAAGATGTGGCATAGAGTTCACTGCCTTGGGAAGGAACTCTGTGGGCACTTCTGTAGGGTCTCTATGAGTCAGAATTGGCATGATGGCATCAGGCTGATTTGGGCTTGCTTTTTAGTTTTGCTTATTTTTTTCATTGTTGCAGGAGCAGATACTCTGGTGAGTTTACCATTGACCTTTTAGGTAGTAACCAAGTGCTTAACCATTGCACCATCAGGGCTCTCTATCTGTGAATGCCTTCTGAAGTAGAAATAATTTGTACAGTCTTCTAAGGGACACAAGCATTTTTCTCGTGTGTGTATGTGTGTGACAAAAGGGACACATAACAGCTTTTGCTGTTCGGAGTGTAGCCTCTGTTTCTCAGACCGCTTCACCAGTGCCCGTGTTATCTGCTCACTTACTTGTAAACAGTAGACTTCATGTAGTGGAACTACAAGGATGGGACAGTAATTATAAAGCACAAAACATTCATCCTTCTAACTTAAAACTTGTGCAAGTGTCATTCACATTTCTCACACTTCTGAAAGTAAATACTTACTCAACTAAAAGAGCACCTCTTACTGTAAAGATATCAATCCAAAATTATGCTGATAGAAAAACATTTGACATTTGAAAATTTTGTTATTACCAGGTGAAGAATCTCATCATGTGCCTCAGAACTAATATTCATACATTTTATCAAAACTCCATAGTTCAGGAAATTTGGGGTTATGTACTGTGTTATATACTCAGGTTATAGCAGTGAATAAGACAAAGTCCCCCAAAACAAGTATGTATTCTCTTGTTGGGTGCTTTCCAGTGTCTGGAGAAAAGTTACATTTCATTCTGAGTTTTATGGGAAGCCACAAGAGTGATCAGGATCTGATTTCTGTTTCCTAAATTATTCTCTGCCATGTGAAGAATTGTCTGTGAAGAGGAGCCTAAGAGATAAAGCCTTTTAAGTAAGCAAAAGCAGCCAGTTCAGACTCCACTACAGGAGTAAAAGTATCTAAAGTGGTAGGATTTGGGATGTGTTTGATGAGAGAACATAATGAATTGCCTATGTCTGGGAAATAAGTGAAAGAAGCCAAGAGTTAACTCCTGGTAACTGATGATATCTTATGATTGAAAAAGATAGGAAGGAGCAGGTTTTGGGTGGCCATGTGGAGGTATTACTGGGTTTGGTTTTTTTTT